TAAATGTGTCTCAATTCCGGTAAATTGTGTGGTTACATTTTGTCCAAATGTAGACACTGAACACAGAGTCGAATTAAATTGATATATATTTCCACGTGGACCAACTTGACTTTGAACACATATTGTAAAACAAGTGTGAGCTGTACTGTAATTGCTCGGGAACTTGACTCAGACTCGAAGCCCTGAACTCTCCTGGACTATAAGCTGTGCAAGAACAAGTGTTATAAAAGTGTCTTCATTTTTCTCAATTCCTTATTTAAAAGAGTGTGTGATTCGCCCTGTTTGTTTGTTGTTTAACGCCGCACTCGGCAATATTCCAGCTATATGACGGCGGTCTGTAAATAATCAAGTCTGGGCCAGGCAATACAGTGATTGACATCATGAGCATCGATCCACGCAATTGGAATACGATGACATGCATCAAACAAGTCAGCGAGCCTGACCACCGATCCCATTAGTCGCTTCTCACGACAAGCAATATCGCCTTTTACGGTAAGCATGGGTTGCTGAAGACCTATTCTACCCCGGATCTTCACGGGTGTGTGATTCGCCCTGACGAAATGGATACGCCCTTATTGTAATACTAAGTTTAAACAGAATGATAAAAGTATTGCGCTGACCATAGACGCCTGACGGGTACCGCGGTCAACATAAGAATCCATTTGTTAAACCAATGCCCGAGCTCATGTTTTTACTGGAAACGTTTTATGACAGTTATGTGGAGGTCATTTCTAAATTTGACGCTTCCGTGACAAAATGTTGTCCGACGCAAATCCCTATTTTGACTTGTAACATGTTATTACTGTTATCCTTTTACTTGTTTGTTTCTTTAATAATCACATACATGTACAACTAATAAAATGTTTCTGTGAAAGTGTACCAGTCTTCAACATAGGTGTCAATGCTGAACATGATCAAACATGTGTTCGTTTGTTTGTTTATTAGCAACTATCCCGCGATATGACGGCGGGCTTCGAATAATCTAGTCTGGTCCAGACAATCCAGTGATTGACATCATGAGCATCGATCTACGAAATTGGGATACGATGTGTGCATCAAACAAGTCAGTGACCACCCGAACCCGTTAGTCGCCTCTTACAACAATCAATATCGCCTTTTACGGTAAGCATGGGTTGCTGAAGACCAGTTGTACCCGAATCTTCACGGGTTCGCCTATCATGACTTGGACAGGTATGGCCTTATCATCCATGTCTACGAAGTGGTAAACGTCTGAGACCTGCATCACTTCGGGCTATCCTCCCACATCAAGCTGACACGCCGTGATATAACTGGAATACTGTTCAAAGCGCGGTTAAACTCATCTCACTCACTTACTAACAAGCAAATGTACGTATGTTCATGAAACCTTATCTCACCTACCATAAAAAAATCAGCTTCTGATTGGTTAAGGAGCGAACAATAGTTTCCTTGCAGACCGCTCATGTATCCCGCTGAGAAATCAATCGGACAACATCTTAGATAACTTGCTTAGCTCGCATAAGTATCGCTGAGCTAGAATGAACCGATGTTTATCGAAAAGCATTGAGTAAAGGGAAGTAACTCGGGTTGTTTGTGTCGTCAGCTAGCTGTCAAAATGGCTAAAAACTTCGTACACAAATTCCAGGTCCGTATCGATGAATGTCTGTGAGATAAATGTGTTGTGAACCGCTCCCTCGGTTTGTTGGTTTGTTGTTTAACGCCGCACTCCATTCCAGCTATATGTATATGTAAATAATCGAGTCTGGACCAGACAATCCAGTGATTAATATCATGAGCATCGATCCACGCAATTGGGAACGATGACATGCATCAACCAAGTCAGCGAGCCTGACCACCCGACCCCATTAGTCGCCTCTTACGATAAGCATAGTCACCTTTTACGGCAAGCATGGGTTGCTGAAGACCTATTTTACCCCGAATCTTCACGGGTCGCTCCCTCGGGGCATATGGAGTGTGTTCCTTGTGTGGAAGCGCGTGTACCCGGGGCCTTCACACCGTATACACCTCGAGATCGGCTGACAACTAATAATAGTTATAGCTGCTTCTGTATTCCTTGGATTTAAAGGTGAGATGAAATTGGTTTAACGTCGCGTCCAAGATTATTGCACTTATATAGCGACGTGCATGCACGTGTGTGTGTGTGTGTGTGGCTGCTTGTACTAGAACGGACTGATGCCGATTTATAGTGCTAGCCCACTGAGATACCATGCCGCAGTTTAACATGAATACCCCACTCAGACACAGTATACTGACTCCGAGCCGACCAGTCCTTGCTTTAACCCCTTAATGCCGAGCGCCAGACAGGGTAACAACAAGTACCATCTTTTAACGTCTTTTGGCATGACGCGGCCGGGGATCGAACCCCGGACCTTCCGCTCTCCGGGCGGACGCTCTACCGCTAGACCACGGAGGGGGTTTGGATTTAAAACACATGTATATGATACTGTGTCTACATACACAGGGTTTGTGTTACAGATGCTTACCGGGCTGGTTGAAAAATATACAAAACTAATCGGTGTTGAGATGTCGTGAACTATGTTTTGGTTACGCCCTAGAAACATGAACGATCCGTGTGTGGCGACAAATATGTCAGATCAGTGAGACGAGTGACGTGTAGGACGGGGCACCTGCAAAGTGGAAGAACCAGGCTCGATTTCCCACTCTAGTAAGTATGTATTCGTGTTATTCCGGAGCAAACCGAATAGCGACTCGTGTCCCTCTCGTTGCCGTTGTTGCGACTGGCAAACGGGCATAGCTATAAGAATTGTCAACTCATTTCGTGATGATTCACATATATTCCCCAATGTCGTATATATTCCAGGTGCTATTGAAAACATACAGTATTATACGGTATGCTTGAACATATTCACTGTATCTTGGTTATAGTTTGTAATGCAAGACATATGACAAATCAAAAAAATTTCCTGAGGGATTCTTTGACCGAAGTACTTGAAGTCATCCGCGCATTCTGATTGGTTTGTCGTATATTCGCACATGACATTCATCGATAGGGGGGGGCGAGTTTTCTTGCAGGTTACGGAAAGGGGTGTGTGTAAAGACCAATGGCCGTGCGGGCCTGCTAAAATAGGTCACACCAGTCATCCACTCACTCAGTGTTCTGGGTCCCTCCACGCGCGGTTATACAAAGCGGACGTACAATGTCTGGCCGGTGCGTGTCTTGAGCTCTTTGTGTGGTGCACAATATTCAAGCTGAATGACGGTGGTGTTGACCAGACAATCCAGTGATTGACAAAATCACAACAGTCGCCTCTTTCGACAAGGTTTGCTTAAGACCTATTCTACACCGGTCACCTAACCTCACCATCCAGCTCACTAGGTCGGGGCATGTGTCGGCATATCCAGCTGACTAGGTCGTGACATGTATCGGCATATCCAGCTGACTATGTCGGTGCATGTGTCGGTATATCCAGCTCACTATGTCGGGGCATGTATCGGCATATCCAGCTGACTATGTCGGTGCATGTGTCGGTATATCCAGCTCACTAGGTCGGGGCATGTATCGGCATATCCAGCTGACTATGTCGGTGCATGTGTCGGTATATCCAGCTCACTAGGTCGGGGCATGTATCGGCATATCCAGCTGACTATGTCGGGGCATGTATCGGCATATCCAGCTGACTAGGTCGGGGCATGTATCGGCATATCCAGCTGACTATGTCGGTGCATGTGTCGGTATATCCAGCTGACTATGTCGGGACATGTATCGGCATATCCAGCTGACTAGGTCGGTGCATGTGTCGGTATATCCAGCTGACTAGGTCGGGGCATGTATCGGCATATCCAGCTGACTAGGTCGGGGCATGTATCGGCATATCCAGCTGACTAGGTCGGGGCATGTATCGGCATATCCACCTCAATAGGTTCGGGGCATGTATCGGCATATCCAGCTGACTAGGTCGGGGCATGTATCAGCATATCCAGCTTACTAGGTCGGGGCATGTATCGGCTTATCCAGTTCACTAGGTCGGGGCATGTATCGGCATATGCAGCTCACTAGGTTGGGGCATGTATCGGCATATCCAGCTCACTAGGTTGGGGCATGTATCGGCATATCCAGCTCACTACGTTGGGGCATGTATCGGCATATCCAGCTCACTAGGTTGGGGCATGTATCGACATATCCAGCTCACTAGGTCGGGGCATGTATCGGCATATCCAGCTCACTAGGTCGGGGCATGTATCGGCATATCCAGCTGACTAGGTCGGGGCATGTATCGGCATATCCAGCTCACTAGGCCGGGGCATGTATCGACATATCCAGCTGACTAGGTCGGGGCATGTATCGCCATATCAAGCTCACTAGGTCGGGGCATGTATCGGCATATCCAGCTCACTAGGTTGGGGCATGTATCGGCATATCCAGCTGACTAGGCCGGGGCATGTATCGGCATATCCAGCTCACTAGGTCGGGGCATGTATCGCCATATCAAGCTCACTAGGTCGGGGCATGTATCGGCATATCAAGCTCACTAGGCCGGGGCATGTATCGGCATATCCAGCTCACTAGGTCGGGGCATGTATCGGCATATCCAGCTCACTAGGTCGGGGAATGTATCGCCATATCAAGCTCACTAGGTCGGGGCATGTATCGGCATATCCAGCTCACTAGGTTGGGGCATGTATCGGCATATCCAGCTCACTAGGCCGGGGCATGTATCGGCATATCCAGCTCACTAGGTCGGGGCATGTATCGGCATATCCAGCTCACTAGGTCGGGGAATGTATCGCCATATCAAGCTCACTAGGTCGGGGCATGTATCGGCATATCCAGCTCACTAGGTTGGGGCATGTATCGGCATATCCAGCTCACTAGGCCGGGGCATGTATCGGCATATCCAGCTCACTAGGTCGGGGCATGTATCGCCATATCCAGCTCACTAGGTTGGGGCATGTGTCGGTATATCCAGCTCACTAGGTCGGGGCATGTATCGGCATATCCAGCTCACTAGGTCGGGGCATGTATCGGCATATCCAGCTCACTAGGTCGGGGCATGTATCGGCATATCCAGCTCACTAGGTCGGTCATGTATCGGCATATGCAGCTCACTAGGTCGGACATGTATCGGCAGATCCAGCTCACTAGGTCGGACATGTATCGGCAGATCCAGCTCACTAGGTCGGTCATGTATCGGCATATCCAGCTCACTAGGTCGGTCATGTATCGGCATATGCAGCTCACTAGGTCGGACATGTATCGGCAGATCCAGCTCACTAGGTCGGACATGTATCGGCAGATCCAGCTCACTAGGTCGGACATGTATCGGCATATCCAGCTCACTAGGTCGGTCATGTATCGGCATATGCAGCTCACTAGGTCGGACATGTATCGGCAGATCCAGCTCACTAGGTCGGACATGTATCGGCAGATCCAGCTCACTAGGTCGGGGCATGTATCGGCATATCCAGCTCACGAGGCCGGGGTTTGTATCGGCATATCCAGCGAACGGTTACTTTCTTTGGGTAAAACTTGTATTGTGTTTCCAGTATTTAAATAAAGTTGTTAGGCAGTAAGTGAAGGATATCTAATTATAGCCTGGTTGATGTATTTGATTTTTTGTCTGAATCGATACCCGAGTGTCTCTTTAAGAAACTTAAGGTGTTTAATTTTCATTTACTTCTACCTGCCATACCATAAATTGTAGTGACTCTATGCCATCTCTTGATATTCTGACATGTCATCTTTCTGTAGCATTGGATCACTGACAATTTCGATGCATCGAAGGGTTGATCAATTGTTAACCAGAGTTAACGGATGAAAGATAGGAAATATGACATCTTCAAGACAATGTTTTCAAACTTCTATTGAGTCAACGTCAATAAAATACAAGTTTAACGTAAGACGTCAACGATATCTTGCCATCGGCGTGCTGACGGGATGTGTGTCACTTCAGACAGTCAGGCTTTGATTGCGTAGTCTCTGCAAGACAAGAACACTATTATATGATCAGTAAAGCTTCACAGTAAAGACACTGCCACAATACACACAATCTTCTCAGTACACATAACCTTCTCTTCCAAAAACACACACAATTCTCTTCCAACACACACACACTATTCTCTTCCAACACACACACACTATTCTCTTCCAACGCAAACACTATTCTCTTCGAACGCAAACACTATTCTCTTCCAACACACACACACTATTCTCTTCCAACACACACCATTCTCTTCCAACACACACACCATTCTCTTCAAACACACACTATTCTCTTCAAACACACACTATTCTCTTCCAACACACACACTATTCTCTTCCAACACACACACTATTCTCTTCCTATACACAAACTATTCTCTTTCTACACACACTATTATCTTCCAACACACACTATTCTCTTTCTACACACACTATTCTCTTCCAACACACACTATTCTCTTCCAACACACACACTATTTTCTTCCTACACATACACTATTCTCTTCCAACACACACACTATTCTCTTCCTACACAAACTATTCTCTTCCAACAAACACACTATTCTCTTCCAACACACACTATTCTCTTCCAACACACACACTATTCTCTTCCAACACACACACTATTCTCTTCCAACACACACACACACACACACACACACTATTCTCTTCCAAAGCACACACACTCACTATTCTCTTCCAACATATACACTATTCTCTTCAAACACACACACTATTCTCTTCCAACACACACACTATTCTCTTCTAACACACTCTATTCTCTTCCAAAACACACTCCATTTTCTTCCAACACACACACACACTATTCTCTTCCAACACACACACACACACACACACTATTTTCTTCCAACACACACACTATTCTCTTCCAACACACACACACACACTATTCTCTTCCAACACACACACTATTCTCTTCCAACACACACACTATTCTAATCCAACACACACACACACACACACACACACACACACACACACACACACACACACACACACACACACACACACACACACACACACACACACACACACACACACACACACACACACACTATTCTCTTCCAACACACACACACACACACTATTCTCTTCCAACACACACACACACACTATTTTCTTCCAACACACACACTACTCTCTTCCAACACACACACACACACACACACTATTCTCTTCCAACACACACACTATTCTCTTCCAACACACACACTATTCTAATCCAACACAAACACACACACACACACACACACACACACACACACACACACACACACACACACACACACACACACACACACACACACACACACACACACACACACTATTTCTCTTCCAAATATTGGTACAGATGTTTTCAAAGTACACATGGAAAGAAGTTTTCAAAGAACATGAACTATAGTTTTGGTCACCGCCTCAAGATATACCATTATTTCTATGAAAGGAGGCTCCAAGTCTGTTTTGGACCTAAGAACATCCAGTAAACATCTTATTTTTGTAAAACCGGAGGGAAAAGGATGTTTTTAGCATTTTCTTGAACAGATAAAAACATTACTCCCCTCTCACATAATATCTGATTTGGTTTCGTAGTACACTTGATCTGCAGGAAAGAAAAAGAAAGCCTACTGAAGGTGTCCTGTGACGTCACTCCCTTCATGCTCAGCTGCACTACAGTGACCACAGTAAAAATGTTGCGCCTGTGACAAACACATGCAAGGGCAAGTAAAATGTTCACTTGAAAAAAACACGGGAACATATGGTACGAGTGAAAATAGGGAATTTCATCGGACATCATTCTTGTCATTCTTGTCCTCCTCTTTAAGTAACTGTATCTGTGGTCACCGCGTCTTGTAACAAAGTAACTGTATCTGTGGTCACCACGTGTTGTTACAAAGTAACTGTATCTGTGGTCACCGCGTCTTGTAACAAAGTAACTGTATCTGTGGTCACTGCGTCTTGTAACAAAGTAACTGTATCTGTGGTCACTGCGTCTTGTAACAAAGTAACTGTATCTGTGGTCACCACGTGTTGTTACAAAGTAACTGTATCTGTGGTCACTGCGTCTTGTAACAAAGTAACTGTATCTGTGGTCACTGCGTCTTGTAACAAAGTAACTGTATCTGTGGTCACCGCGTCTTGTAACAAAGTAACTGTATCTGTGGTCACCACGTCTTGTAACAAAGTAACTGTATCTGTGGTCGCCGCGTCTTGTAACATCGAACTGTATCTGTGGTCACCACGTCTTCTTACAAAGTAACTGTATCTGTGGTCAGCGCGTCTTCTAACAAAGTAACTGTATCTGTGGTCACCACGTCTTCTTACAAAGTAACTGTATCTGTGGTCACTGCATCTTGTAACAAAGTAACTGTATCTGTGGTCACCGCGTCTTGTAACAAAGTAACTGTATCTGTGGTCACCACGTGTTGTTACAAAGTAACTGTATCTGTGGTCACTGTGTCTTGTTACAAAGAAACTGTATCTGTGGTCACCGCGTCTTGTTACAAAGTAACTGTATCTGTGGTCACCGCGTCGTGTTACAAAGAAACTGCATCTGTGGTCACTGCGTCTTGTTACAAAGTAACGTATCTGTGGTCACTGCGTCTTGTTACAAAGTAACTGTATCTGTGGTCACTGCGTGTTGTTACAAAGTAACTGTATCTGTGGTCACTGCGTCTTGTTACAAAGTAACTGTATCTGTGGTCACTGCGTCTTGTTACAAAGTAACTGTATCTGTGGTCACCGCGTCTTGTAACAAAGTAACTGTATCTGTGGTCACCACGTGTTGTTACAAAGTAACTGTATCTGTGGTCACTGTGTCTTGTTACAAAGTAACTGTATCTGTGGTCACCGCGTCTTGTTACAAAGTAACTGTATCTGTGGTCACCGCGTGTTGTTACAAAGTAACTGTATCTGTGGTCACTGCGTCTTGTAACAAGGTAACTGTATCTGTGGTCACCGCGTCTTGTTACAAAGTAACTGTATCTGTGGTCACCGCGTCTTCTTACAAAGTAACTGTATCTGTGGTCACCGCGTCTTGTAACAAAGTAACTGTATCTGTGGTCACCACGTGTTGTTACAAAGTAACTGTATCTGTGGTCACTGTGTCTTGTTACAAAGAAACTGTATCTGTGGTCACCGCGTCTTGTTACAAAGTAACTGTATCTGTGGTCACCGCGTCGTGTTACAAAGAAACTGTATCTGTGGTCACTGCGTCTTGTTACAAAGTAACTGTATCTGTGGTCACTGCGTCTTGTTACAAAGTAACTGTATCTGTGGTCACTGCGTGTTGTTACAAAGTAACTGTATCTGTGGTCACTGCGTCTTGTTACAAAGTAACTGTATCTGTGGTCACTGCGTCTTGTTACAAAGTAACTGTATCTGTGGTCACCGCGTCTTGTAACAAAGTAACTGTATCTGTGGTCACCACGTGTTGTTACAAAGTAACTGTATCTGTGGTCACTGTGTCTTGTTACAAAGTAACTGTATCTGTGGTCACCGCGTCTTGTTACAAAGTAACTGTATCTGTGGTCACCGCGTGTTGTTACAAAGTAACTGTATCTGTGGTCACTGCGTCTTGTAACAAGGTAACTGTATCTGTGGTCACCGCGTCTTGTTACAAAGTAACTGTATCTGTGGTCACCGCGTCTTCTTTCAAAGTAACTGTATCTGTGATCACCGCGTCTTGTAACAAAGTAACTGTATCTGTGATCACCGCTACTTGTAACAAAGTAACTGTATCTGTGGTCACTGCGTCTTGTTACAAAGTAACTGTATCTGTGGTCACCGCGTCTTGTAACAAAGTAACTGTATCTGTGGTCACCTCGTGTTGTTACAAAGTAACTGTTTCTGTGGTCACCGCGTCTTGTTACAAAGTAACTGTATCTCTGGTCACTGCGTCTTGTTACAAAGTAACTGTATCTGTGGTCACTGCGTCTTGTAACAAAGTAACTGTATCTTTTGTCATCGCGTCTTGTTACAAAGTAACTGTATCTGTGGTCACCGCGTCTTGTAACAAAGTAACTGTATCTGTGATCACCGCGTCTTGTAACAAAGTAACTGTATCTGTGGTCACTGCGTCTTGTTACAAAGTAACTGTATCTGTGGTCACTGCGTCTTGTAACAAAGTAACTGTATCTGTGGTCACTGCGTCTTGTTACAAAGTAACTGTATCTGTGGTCACCGCGTCTTGTAACAAAGTAACTGTATCTGTGGTCACCTCGTGTTGTAACAAAGTAACTGTTTCTGTGGTCACCGTGTCTTGTTACAAAGTAACTGTATCTGTGGTCACTGCGTCTTGTTACAAAGTAACTGTATCTGTGGTCACTGCTTCTTGTAACAAAGTAACTGTATCTTTTGTCATCGCGTCTTGTTACAAAGTAACTGTATCTGTCGTCACCGCGTCTTGTAACAAAGTAACTGTATCTGTGGTCACTGCGTCTTGTAACAAAGTAACTGTATCTGTGGTCACCGCGTCTTGTAACAAAGTAACTGTATCTGTGGTCACCACGTGTTGTTACAAAGTAACTGTTTCTGTGGTCACCGCGTCTTGTTACAAAGTAACTGTATCTTTTGTCATCGCGTCTTGTTACAAAGTAACTGTATCTGTGGTCACCGCGTCTTGTAACAAAGTAACTGTATCTGTGGTCACCGCGTCTTGTAACATCGAACTGTATCTGTGGTCACTGCGTCTTGTTACAAAGTAACTGTTTCTGTGGTCACCGCGTGTTGTTACAAAGTAACTGTATCTGTGGTCACCGCGTCTTGTAACATCGAACTGTATCTGTGGTCACTGCGTCTTGTTACAAAGTAACTGTTTCTGTGGTCACCTCGTGTTGTAACAAAGTAACTGTTTCTGTGGTCACCGCGTCTTGTTACAAAGTAACTGTATCTGTGGTCACTGCGTCTTGTTACAAAGTAACTGTATCTGTGGTCACTGCTTCTTGTAACAAAGTAACTGTATCTTTTGTCATCGCGTC